CTAGTCCACTAGGGAATCCCCCCAAATTATTTTGAATAACACTTCTTTTTTTTGTTTTGTTTTTAAAGATTTTTTTATTTACGCATACAGAACTGGGGTACAGGCTAGAGGCGCTGGGGTGATGGAGGCTCCCCACTCACCAGAGATAAAGCAGGGAGCAGAACAAACAGATCAACAATGTACACTGCTGAGGGGAAGAGTGGGCAAGACAGGAGAGGTCTGCTGTTCCTGAATAACAGTTCTCACTGATGAAAATCTACAGGCTCAGAAATGTCATTTAGATATTTGCCTTGTTGGTGGACATGATGCTCCACATTACCGAGATTGCTCTCACTAGCCCACTGAGCACCGGTGAACACCAACTTTGAGAGTTAGTGTCAAATGCTGCAGAAAATGCAAAATCTTGTTGCCTCCTCTAAGGTCTCAAGGTTAAATCTCAGACCTATCATTCTTACAACCTGAGTTTGATCCCTGGCCAGGGAGCTGACCCACATAGGGTGCAACAGACCTCTCCTATTTCACCTGCTGCTCCCCTCAGCAGTGGATTTCAGTAGATCCTCCTATTCTGCTCCCCACTCTGTCTCTGGTGAAGTCTATCATCCCCTGCACCTCTGACCTGTACCCCCAGTTCTTCTACACAGAGAAAAAGAAAAATCAACCAATTCCCTGTACTCACGCAGGAGAAAACCTCTTTATTAGGAATTGACAAAAAAGCTCTATATTTCTCAAAGCCTTTCCCTTTAAATTATTTCTGGTCGAGGTTGAATTTGAGATCTGCCTCTCACTTGCTAAGGGCTATTTATGATTTATTTCAACCTTTAGCTAGCTCTAGAAAAAAAATGAATGAAGTTGAAAATAAAGAAGAGGAGATGCTTAATCCTCAGTGGCATTTCAGTGTGTACAGTGCTGATGACAGCCTTGTGAAAATCTCGATGTTTAGAAATTTTTTTCTCGACAAATTAAAGTGAAAACTAATACTGCTTTTAATTAGAGGATGAATGCATGTGGGACTCTTCCTGCAGGCTGGACCTTGGAGCCTTTTGGAAAACATCAAGGGGAAATTTAAAACCCAATCAATTTTCTTTCGGAAGTGATGATAGACCACAGTGAACTATGGGTGTCGTGACAATTTCAGAGGTTCCTCACATGCCAGTCACCATAACATTGACACACAGACAATATTTCCAAAGAAGATTTTGCTGTCTCTGGTGTCCCCCAAGGGCGTTATTACCCCCTATCAATGCAATAATCTTTAATGCAGGTTTCAAGCCCCTAAATATGTACATGCCAGATAGTCAGATTTGTTTTGGTCGACTGGGTCAATAATCCACGCAACGAAAATCTCTAAATATGTATTCATCAGATAGACAGAGCAGCTTTGGTTCACTGAATCTGTAGTAAGGAGTCTTTTCAAATGGTGTCTAAATAGTTGCAGAGTTTGCATTTTATCAAGTTCAGAAATGCGGTTCTGTTTTGTAAAGCTGGGATTTATGATACTAGTCCTGATGGATGTCAGAAGTGTGTTTTACACTAGATGGTGATATTTTCGTTTTTAAAAGTCAGAAGAGAAATGATTATAGTTCAAACTATTGGGTAATTGGAAAAGTCCTGATGCCTTTTTGCCTTGAAACATCGAAAAAATATGACATGAATATCCCGACAGCCCAATATATTATTGGGGAGCAGCGGGCAGTTCAGGAGAGGTCTGCCACACCATGTGGTCACCTTTAGGGCAGGCGGGAATCGAACTCATACGGAAGTGGCCCTAGCCTCCCAGTGCTGAGCTTTAACCCGCTGCGCCACCAGAGAGGGCCAAGAACGATATATTTTAAATGTTCATTAAATAATTATAGTGTAAATGAATGAAAGCAGATGAAAAAGGGATTTCTTTCTAGTTTCCTGGTTGTTGAATGATGTTTGTTGTTTTGAAGATTTTTTTTTTTTAGATTTATTTTATTACCTTATGCATATATAAACTAGGATACAGGCCAGCGGTCTGGGGGTGAGAGGATTCCCCAGAGACAGAGTGGGGAGCAGCACAGGCAGATCTACTGAAATCCACTGCTGAGGGGAGCAGCGGGGGAAACAGGAGAGGTCTGCTGCACCACGTAGGTCAGCTCCCTGGCTGGGGCCAAACTCAGGCCATAGTGGTGACAGTGCTGAGAGTCAACCTCTAGGCCACTCAAACAGGAGGTGCCATTTGTGTTTTGATTGAGAGGTGATAACCTCTGAGATGAAATCCTTTCTTGGACCGATAGGCCTTTATGTTTTGTAGTATTCACAAAATTGGTTGTACCTGAGCTGCTCCTCTAGTGTACCCCAGAGCTCTCGGTTATGCCAGGGCTCCAAGTGGCTGGGGTCCCCTCGGCCAAGTGGTTATGGAAACCCGTGGCCTCTCTGTTCCTAAGTACATTGGTTCTTAAAACAGGCTAGCACGTTTAAATCTTCTTCTACTTAGTGTCCACGGTCAGTTTTGAGCACTGGCCATAAGAGATTACCAACTAGGTTATGGTTTAATCTCAGGATTCTTTGCATCCGTAAATTGCTTTTGGTAGCCTTGACATTTTAGTAATGTTCTTTTTTTCCAATCCATAAGCAGGGGAGGGCTTTCCATTTCTTTGTGTCTTCTATTTTAATAGTGTTTCATAATTTTCTTGGTTTAGGTCATTCATCTCCTTTGTTAGGTTTATTTCCAGGAATTTGATATTTTTGGAATTGTAAATGGGATGGTTTTCTTCATTTCTTCTTCAGATTGATTGTTTGCATATAGGGAGGCTACTGATTTTTGTGTGTTGCTTTATATCTTGTTAATTTATTAAATCAGTTTATTATTTTAATTAGTTTTTCTGTGGAGTTTTTAGGGTTCTTTATGTGTATTATCATATTATCTGCAAAGAGTATAATTTTACTTCCCAAACCCTTACATAGATTCCTTAGATGTCTTTCTCTTGTCTTATGGCTCAGGCTAAGCCTTCCAGTATTATAGTGAAAAACAGTGATGATTAAGGTCATCCTTTTCTTGTTCCTGATCTCTAAAAAAAGGTTTTCAGCTTTCCATCATGGAGAATAATATTGGCTGTGGGTTTATCATCTATGGCTTTTGTTATGCTAAGGTATGTTCCTTCTACCCCAAGAATTTCGAGGGCTTTCATACATAAACGATTGTTGAACTTTGTCAAATACTTTCTCAGCATCTATGGATATCATCAAATGGTTCTTATTTAATAATCTTTTATCACCAGGAGGAAGGGTGTGTACAACCCACCATATAACTAGCAACAGAGATATTGGTGGAATCAGTGTTCTCTTGGTCTGTTATCCTTGGGGTATCCCCGTGTTCTCTTGGTCTGTTATCCTTGGGGTATCCCCATGCTTTCTCCACACCTTCAACCATGCATGCATGATGTTGTGAAATGAATCCTTTCTCCTGATGGAAGGTTGTTTCAGTAACATCTTCCTTATTTAAATTTCACAAAAATCTTCTTTATTTCAGTCACTCAAAAGGTGCCTTTGGCAAGAGAATCACAGCTGACAGCAAATTAATGACTCTGAATCTATGATTAGTTGAGATCACAGGCTATGGCGACCTGCCTGGGCATTTACCGCTGGCGCCACTGGCATCTATTAGGGATGGTTATTACTCTTGGGGAGGAGTAGCTTATTGCAGTGATCCCTATATGCAAGGAAACCTGTACTGTGATAGCCAGTGATAACCTAATTAATTCAAAGGCTTTTCACTGTTCACCTGCTCAGCTGAAATCAGTTTCTCTCTCCTCTCCTTCCTCAGTACACGGATTTATTTTAATATATCTTTAAGACACAAACTGAAAATATAACTTGAAGTGATCTAGATAATTCCATTCCCCAAGCCCACAGTATTCATTAACTGAAAGGAAAACCTAGTTTAATCTTGAAGTATTTGGCTAAGTGACTCAATTTTGTAATTTATTGTGCATGAACAGGCAATACTTATTGGATATTTCAGCACATATTAGGACTTGAGAGGATTTATAAACTACAACTTTTCAATCAACTTAATGGGGAGGAGGGGATAAAAAATTAACGCGAACAATATAAAACCACCTACACAGATACAAGGTGTCACATCCTTCCGATTCTGCCTGAAAAGAAATAATGATTTCTGTAATCTCCAGCAATGACTTTTGTGGGGGAGAAGATTTCAAATAAATGTCTGTTTGCTTTAAGCGAGCCTCACTGAATTGGCCTTATTTGATTTCAGATCCTACTGAGGGAAGAGATTTCAGGATTTCCTGGTTGTAAAATGGAAAAGAACATTTTGCTGAACTTGTATGACATCATCTAAAGCATTAAAAGGGCAGAAAATCACAGGCTCTGTGCCTGTTTACCAAAGCTTCTTTACCTTCTCAATCGATTTTATTTCCAAATGTCAGAGTAGTCAGAAACCTTTCAAAGATTTATAGGCTGCACAAGCAGAGGCAATATTTGGGCAAATCCTCTCTAACTTTTGAGAAAGGCTTTAAATAATTAATGGAAAGTCCTTGAAAATGTTGTATGTTACAGTGCAGATACTCTGAAATAAACCACATATACCACAAAATATAACGTGGCAACAAAAGACACTAGGCTATCTCTCTCAGATGTCAGTGAAACAATTCTCTAGTATATACACTTGTGGTGTAATAAAGGTGAATTAGTGAAAATATATTAAAATGAAAATACTAGTCAATGAATGAATGAAAACAGAAAGCTCAACCTTGGTTTTAAATATAATTTCATTACAAAACTTTACTTGGAAATTCTTGTATGTACAGAAAAACACATGTAATTATCATGATATTATTTATAAAAGAGCAACTAAAGTGGGAAAATTGTACTAGGACCAAATAACTAACACACATATCATTTAAAAGGTATTCGCTGACAAGATCATTCTCACAGTAATAAATTATTTTTTCTCTGTTATGCAAAATCCCTCAACCATCACTTTAGGGAGAAACGTGGTGTGAAAATGATCTTACCTCATATTCAAAGTCCTCAGCTCTGTCTGCATCAGCAGGTAGACTGGAAAGATACTCATGGTCCTCATAAAATTCATGTTCCATTGGAGGAAGAGAATGGCCGCTATAGGGAATGTGCAATAGGATAGGAAAGGATCAACAGGGTTGTTTTTAAGATTACAACTGATTTTTAGAATTTTACTTAAATATTCTCTGCTTCACAAGACTGTGGTAATCTAGCTTTTCAAAGGACTACAATGAAGGAGGAACACTTGACTTCATTCTGAGAAAGAAGCTCATCAGTTTGATTTTCTGAGAAGTAACTAAGAGAAAGGGCTGTAATCAAGGCCCCAGCCCATGAAGAAACTGACAGAAAATCCTCCACAGGTCAAGGTTCTTGAGAGCTGCCCCTACCGTTTCACTGCACCAAATGCAACATGCCCCTGATCTGGGTTTGAGATTGCAGTTTGTACTTTGCAAAAAGTGCTACCAGTTGCCTATTACCCAGCTCTAAACTAGTTTTAGAAGTGTCTTTTAAAGTATCTTCCAAATATACTCACTCCCCCTCCCCCATCCTTCAAACCTCCTTCCCCATCCTTCTTCTTACCCACATTTCCCTCCTTTTAAGAGCGCATGCACAGGGCCTTCCAAGGCAGCGTAGCGGTTGAGTCTCAGCGCTATCACCACTGAGGCCTGAGTTCGATTCCCCAGGCAGGAAGTGACCCACATAGAGTGCAGCAGACCTCTCCTTTCTTGCCAGTAACTCCCCTCAGACTGGATTTTACTAAATGCATCTGTTCTGCTCCACACTATGTCTCTAGGGAATCCTCTCACCCCACACCTCTGGACTACCCCCCATTCTTTGATGCAAAATAATAAAAATAATCACAAGCACCCACAGGGACCCCTTTCAGGACATCCCTATACACCACTGGGTTTTCTATCCTTAGAAAATTCCCTGGGACAGAGACTGATGAAGTAAAGGAAATGAGGAGAGCCCTGGCACTATGTCTTATACAGACTTTAGCTTTTGGTAAATGCTTTACATAGTGTAGGGACGTGCTTTCACATCCCTCTTGGCTGTGATCTAGATACTCTGCACAGATATGAAGCTCAGCTTAAGAGCAAAAGTCATGAGGTCCTTTTCGTTTCTAAGTGAAAAAGCCTCCCCATACTTACCAAGTTGAAGGGGAGAGATTTGAGACCTGGCAGTTTGGAAATGACAGAAAAACTGGGGTTTGCAGATGAGATGATCATCAGACCCATCCTGGGGCCCTTAAGCAATCAGTGAACTATTCTGCCTAGCTCTTCTCTGTACTATCTGTGGGGTTGGCTCCATGGACGTTCTACACAATGCCTGAACTTAGCCGAGTCTGCGAAGCCTGGGCAGGGCTGGGAGCTGGATGTGTCCCCTCGCACCTCTGACCTGCACCCCAGTTCTTATCTATATAAATAATTAAAAATAAATCTTTAAAAAAGTGATCTCTGAAACATGTGTATTAAACCTGACTGGGAGGTTTTTGAAAAAATTCTGATGTCCGGATTGCATCTAAATTTTTTATTTAATTCTTAGTATACTTGAGGTAGATTCCACACCACATTGATAGTGCTTTTCAAAATTTCCAGGCGATTCTAATGTACACATGTGCACCACTGAGAATGGACAAGAGAGCCATTAATTAGTGACGAAGCAGGATCAGAGCTGTGCTTTATAAAGAGAAGGGCTCACAATAGACCACAGAAATGCAGTGGAAAGTGACTATTGCTTTTATAAATCACACTCTCAGTAATGCTTGGATATTAACCAAAAAGCTCACAGATCAAAACAAATGGGGTACAACATACTTTGCAAAGTGCAAAAGTAGGGCTATTTGAATAAAAGATCTCTTACTGCCTTTAAATTAGGTAAAACTTGGAAGAAATATTCCTTTAGCAGTTCTGTATTTCATGGCTCCTTAGTTCCTCCCTGACAGCCAGGAACTTTTGTTTACATTTCAATGTATTAGACAATTGTGTTCTTTGGAGAATTATACTGTAAATTCAGTTTGGAAAATTGCACTTTTAATTTCTCAGCTTTTTCTTACAGGAGAGAGAGAATGGTGACCTACAGAGGATAATTTAGTGCCTGATGCCATTTATGTGTCAGTCTTAATAAAGCTTGGTAGTGTTGGTGAGAAAAACTATTTTCCTGACAGGTGCTGATGAGAAGCAGGAGCCTTTTTTTTTTTTTAAAGATTTATTTTATTTATGTATGCATGTAAGAACTACAGTGTAGGTCAGAGCTGCAGGGGTGAGAAGATTCCCTAGAGACAGAGTGGGGAACAGGTTGACTAAATACTCGCTGAGGAGAATAGCAGGCATATCAGGAGAGGTCTGCTGTACCATGTGGGTCAGCTCCCTGACAGAGATGGAACTCAGGCCACAGTGGCTGGTGATAGCTTGATAGCGTGAGGTATAACCATTGCACCACCAGGGAGGCCCCTGAAATAGGAGTCTTTTGATGACTAGAAATATGAAGATGAACTAATCAAAAGTCAGAATTTTTCAATGCACCTTAACAAATATGATTCCTAACATGAGGTGACCATGGCAGGGGCTGCTGGGAACGAACAATGGAGATACTTGTAGAACAGGATTGTGAACCTGGCTGGTCTCTGGGACTGGTAACTTGCTGGTGTGACTGAATCTGTTCAACAACTATGTTAACTGATGAACAAAGCAGGTAGGGTTTGGAGGCTTGGAGAGACATGACAGAGAAATACCTGTCTGAGAGCAGAAAAGGACAGATGTCAGGCACCGGGGGAGTCGGAGGTCTGAGCTTGGCCAGCGCCATGATGTGCTCGAAGGTGATGTCTGTCTGGGTGCTGGCGTTCATGAGCTGCACCTCAGGGGGCGTCAAGTAGGCTGGTTTGCTAAGAGGTGTTCGCCTTAGCACCTGGACCACAATGGGCTCCTTGGCATTGCGAAAGGCTTCCACTGCCTCCTCATGGGTGGCCCTTGAGAGATCCTTCCCATTGACCTGCGAAGATAAAGAACAAACCTGCTCTCAGGGAAAAGATCAGAGAAGCTGCCATTCTGGGTGCATCGCAGGTGAGGAGGGGAGCCTTGAATCAGCTCTGATAGGAATTTTGTAAAGGAATATTTAATCAGACATTGACATTTACTGAACTCGCCAACATGAGGAAGATAAGGAAAACAATTATTTCCTGTGTCTTGATGAAGTATACCATGAGAAGTATGAGTAAAGATTAAAAAATTTAGATAACACAGACTTGAAAATTGTTCACTAAAATCTTCATATAGGTGGAAATGTAAATTATATATTTCTTCACAATCTGTTGATCTATTGTGGGGCTCTCACATTCCTGCTTACTAAGGGTTGGTGGTATTCTTTTTGAAAAAGAACCTTTTGGACATCTAAAACACCCACATACTTATCTCTGCCCCATCTATTGCTAATACAGATTACTTTCAAACTGTCATCAATTTACTCCTCTAAAATGGTCCGGCTTCTCAGTGGAAGTTGTGTTTTAATAAAGACTATGTAATAAATGGTCTTATACCTCTCACCCCCAATGAATTCATAATGTTGGCTTTTGCAAACAGAAAGTGATACTTGGAAACAGTATTCTGTACAAAAGCCCTGGAATTATGCCTTTTCTCTCAAACGAAACCTGTGGGAGAGACTCCGATAACTACTTTGCATCAGTAAATCTTTAGCTATCTTTGGGTGCCTGGAAAGAAGCAAAGGGAGTCACTGAGTCAGAGCCATAAAACAATTGCTGACATTCAAATGAGCACATTCTCTCCCCCTGAGTAGACAAAGAATATGTGTGTGCTCAGAGGAAGTGCAGGGTGATTTGGGGTAAATGATACAATACCAGGTAGGAATCTCCATGTCATGTAGAGACAAGCTTAATGGCCTGGAGGAGCTAATTTACTCAATGGGCCCTGAAAGAGTCAATGTGCCTTCAAAAAATGAGCAATTTAGTTTCCTCATCAGCAAAATATGTCTCAGTGCAGTTCTTGAATCACTAGTTAGAAAGTTCAGTTGGAGACTTGAGTGGGTACCTACTGGTTCCCACACATTCATTAATCTGTACACGTATTCAGATTCTTTTCTCTGAAGACTAAACTTAAAAAAAATGGTTGCTGAATTTTCATTGGCACAATCTAGGATACAGGTGACTTGGGGTACCACTATTTGAAATTTACTATACTATGTCAATATGTTACTTGTTGCTATAAGCATTCTATCTACTGTCACCCCTAATGGCAGCAGAATGAAAGAAGAATGTCCTCACTGAAGAGGCTCCAAGCAAAATCTGAGGGTAAATGGAAAAGTAATTTGCAATCAAGGTTTCTTCCAGCCACACATTAAATCCCACTAATTCATAGATGATATGTTAATACATATTAGACAGATGAGTGCCATTATTCTATTTCTCCACCCCCCAAGGTTTTAAGGCTGTCTTGGTGTCCCTTCATTTCTTATTTGTTTCAGTGATCTTCAAAACAAGAATAATTTTTAAAAATTGAGTAAATTATTGATAATGATTATTTATTTTTTGTTCCATAAACAATGTATGATTATTTCTGCAAACTCCAGAACAGTATAAAAATGTCTGCCAAGGCCCTCCCTGGTGGCGCAGCGGGTTAAAGCACAGCACTAAGAAGCTAAAGCCTCTTTGGCATGAGTTTGATCCCCGCCTGCCCCTAAGGTGACCACGTGGCGCGGCAGACCTCTCCTGACCCGCGCTTTTCTCCCCTCTTTATTGTGCTTCGTGGATCTGCCTGTTCTGTTCCCTGCTCTGTCTCTGGTGAATCCTATCACCCTCCACATCTCTGGCCTATCCCCCAATTCTGTATGAATAAAATAAATAAATCTTTAAAAAAAATGTCTGCCAAAATATAAAGATTATTGAAGTGTATTTTAGGTTATCAATGATTAGTTCTTATTATAAGTCTCAGCATATGCAGGTAGTACTAGTGTTCATATGGCAAGATCAATAGTTATTGATCTAAGATGTGTACTTTCATTCATTTATAATCTTGGCATTTAGATGCAAATTTTATGTTTTGCTTTAATGACAATCAAATACAATCTTTAAAAAGGACAATCAATGTAATTTTAAATCTTTTACTTCCCTATGGGAAATGCTCTTTTCTTTCAGTTATCATGCAGTTGACTTCTATTTTCATAAGCCATTTAATATCTTTTAAAGTAAAGAAGTCTATGACCTTTAAAATCTACTGCCTCGTGTGATTCCTTCGAAAATGTAAGCGCTGATGATACAAAACACTCTTTTTTTCACTTCACTTGAAGTTCATCAACATACTGTTAGCCTACCAAAAGGTCACCATTTTATAAATTATGCCTTTCATAACATAAAAAAGAATAGCTTAATTGGGATTTTCTGGCAGTTGCTTTGCTCAGTTATCATCAGTTACAACTAAGGACAAGTATAAAGCCAGAAGAATAAAGTTTTAATCCTATTGGAAAATTTTGTAGTAAATTTGCAAAGCAATTAGCAAAACTTCATTTTTATTTCCAAATGGCTACAATGTAAATCAACAAGATATTTGGTATTTTGTGGTGTCACATTGTTATTATTCTATTTCATTCCCATTCTCTATTTCTATCCCTTCCTCCTTTCCTTACTTCTCTGAAACCATTCACCTTTTCCCTCCCCCCCCCCACCTAAATCTTAAATTTGTGTGGGTATGAACAGCATATAATTTTTATTTATTTTATGAAATAAATGGAGTTGTACCCCCACCCTCCATTAAAGATGGCTATTTAATATAGACATTGAAAAGGAGAAAAGCTTTGTTGCTGGAAGAGTATATAAAGGAAAGTTAGTTTTCAGGAGAAAAACAATGAATGAGAATGATTGGAAATAAAACCGATGAAAAGAAATGAAAGATTATTTGATTCAAAGGTTACTTGAAGCTCCATGCATTAAGGGGCTTGAGTTGGGAGCATTCAGGCAGAAGGGTTTCAAGAAGATTGGCAATATGACATAAGCATGGTAAAGGGGAAGTGAATTTTTCTAATGTGGTTGTTAAAGGGAGGACATGAGAGGTGAAAGTGTGGTCAGAACCACAAGATGTATAAGAGAAAGTCCCTTCCATTACTGCAATACTTGGCATTTAGATAAACGCAACCAAACCTGAGTTGGTTCTACTGCTACTGAGTGATGAGATGCTAACAGCTGCATGTGCTTGATATTTGATAGCACTGGCTGCGGAATTGTTAACAGGGTAATCCCCAGGAAAATCCCCAGGGAAGGGGAGGGCAGGGCTGAACTGAGAGGAGAAGCTGGAGAAAGGGGGAAAGGAAGGAGAGCAAGGAGGAGGCAAATGGAGAGAGAGAGACATGTGAAGAAGCAGCACTTGATTCTAGGCCTCGGATTTGAGAACTTACATTGGGGGACAGGGAAAAAGACACTTGAAAGATGGATGTGAGAGATCCGTGGGGAGGCTGACAATGGTAGCTTTGACCTTGATTTTGATTTCACTTTATTCCTTCCACACTTGTCTGTCCACTTCTAAACCTTTGCACATGTTGCATAAAGAGATTATCAGAGTTGGCGACAGCATAACAAAGGGAAGGGATGCTCAGTGATGGACGCTCCAGGATATGTAGAGACATGGGGGTGTCCTCCTCGAAAACTAAAATTGGTATTGGAGGCCCTCCCTGGTGGCACAACAGGTTAAAGCGCAGCACTAAGAAGCTAAAGACACTTCCACATGAGTTCGATTCCCACCTGCCCCGGAGGTGACCACATGGTGTGGCAGACCTCTCCTGACCCTCCCGCTGCTCCCCTCAGCAGTGTACTTCGTAGATCTGCCTGTTCGGCTCCCCACTCTGTCTCTGGTGAAGCCTCTTGCAGCCCCTGAGCCTCTGGCCTGTACCCCAGTTCTGTATGCACAAATAAATAAATCTTTAAAAAAAAATTGGTATTGGAAACAAAAGTAAAGAGGAGTCTTCATCAGGTCAAACTTGAACCGGTTCTAAGACATTCAGGTGAATGAAGAAATAAACAGATCACTGGTGACTATGGCAACCTCTTCCTGCCACCTTCTCCTTATTTCTAACTTGGTTACAGAACTTTTCAATTCAGTTCCATCTCAACAAATCTTAAAAACTAGATGTATTCAAGCGATGGCTACTAATAAACATAGACAATTTTATACATATAAAAAGGTGTCTGGCTTCTAAGTATAGTTTTATTGTATTGATAGGGATAGGTAGATAGGAGAAAAATAGGTTTAAACAGTCACTGTAAGTAAAGTGTGAATACATTTGTTGTGGCAGATGGGCTAATCAATCCATAAACAACTTGTGAATGTTAAGTAAAGAATATAACTTTTCATATGTAAACCATACCAAGGCAATATTTGATGAAGCTTCTGTTGAGTGAACAATCTACCCTTTTGGAAGAACAGCAAAATCTGGGCCACTAGTCAACAACCTTCCCGGGGTGTCTGGGGGTCTCAGCTTGCAGATGAACTGTTCTGCTTTGGTTATTCCTCCAAATCCAGCCACATGTGAAATTTTCTTGAGTATCAGAAAACAAACAGCCTTTTCCCCCTTCCTTTGAAGTGCAAACAAGGGCATGAATAACCAAGTGACCTTGGTGAGTTGCCATTTCTAGAATCAGCTGCTTGAGAGCAAGGAAGGTTTCCAAATCTCTATGCCTCATGAAAAATAGGGACATTTAACAACAACAACAACAACAACAACAACAATAATAATAATAATAAAGAATTCTTCTAATCTATGAGAAAAAGACAGGGCCAAGCATTAATGGAAGAAGGATCTGAAGTATATGAAGAGGCACATCCAGGAAGGGAAAACATAGATGGCCAATAAATATTGTTAATGATGTTCAATCTCACAATGCAAATTAAGGCAAACTGTAATATTTGATTGTTTTTTATTAAATAAGAATGCTATTTGTATGCCATATTTGATCATGGAAACATATGTAGAAGTTTTTCTGCAGTTTAAAC